GTCATCCATATTCCATCAGTCATAGCATCTACATTAGAACTACTAGGGACAGTAATTGTTTTATTTGGATCGCCAGTTGCTGCTGTGGCAACATGGCCACCAATATCTAGTGAGGTGTCACTCATTGATTGTTTCGGGGCAGAAATTTCAATTTCGGGTTGCACAGTTAGATGTCTGATCTGCGCCGTGACATCTCTTACGACACAAACGCGATCTTCGCCATCAGCACAAATATTGCCAGTGCAGCCCTCATCAACCTTCTTATTAGCCAACACCAGGAGGCTAATGGCTTCCTGGATGAGCGTTGTTTTGCTTGAGCAACAAAAACTACAAAGTCAATGAGAGATGGGCTTCGAGAACCTTTTATATGCAGCGGGACATAGTCGGGTGCACATCTTGTGGAACCACTTATTACACTCATCACATTGCATCCCTTCCTCCACGGGGAATAAACAATATGGTTGTCCACATTTATGAGCCGATTTGGCCATCTTGAAAACCAAATACAATGGTGATACAAAGAGGATATGTAAAATAATTCTAAAACCTTGACTAAATAAATCAAGTAAAAGTCGACCAAGTATGCTTCGATGCAATGAATACACAAAATTAAAATTAAAACACTCAATACAATATCACATTAACTGGAGAAGATTCAATTAAAGTGTAAACAATAGTTTTGGTGCGTAATTTACGACCAAAGCAGTTAATTAACTCAACGAGAAACAACACCACTGTCCTTTTAGACAGTTCATTAGAGTATAGGCGTCTTAGAGGCGACCTTCTAATGGCTTACAGTATCCTTGACACTTCTATACATCCACTTAAACACCTACTTAAGCTTAGTCCCAACAATAACCTAAGGGGTAACACCCAAAAACTGGAGATACAACATAGTAGAACGGACTGCAGACACAATTTCTACTCCTTAAGAGTTGTCAAATGCTGGAACTCGCTGCCAGCTGAGCTAGTCCAAGCAACTTCCCAGGAGTCCTTTAAGAGGCGACTTGATCTATTCTTAAGGACTAAGGATAGTATCCTATTATGATTTACCAATTCATTTTCTTTCTCTTTTATCGTTAAAATACCTAGGTTCTTGCCTGGAGGTATTGGTGATCCCCTGCTACTAGACACGGAAGCCTGTTAAGCGAAAGCTTCTTCTATTCCGTCCAAAACCATTTGAACGATTTGAACCATTGAAGATAATAAAGAAAAAAGAAATTGGTAAATCATAATAAGATATTATCCTTAGTCCATAAGAATAGGTCAAGCTCCATCTTAAATGACTATTGTGACGTCGCTTGGACTAGATCGGTCGGCAGCGAATTCCAGCATTTGATAACACTCCAATGTCTGAGTATCTCTCTTCAAAGTTTTACATCATCAGCAAAAAGTAATAAGTCTGACGATAGCTGTTGCGGAAGATCGTTTATATAAATCGATAAAAGAGGTTCTAGTACTGAACCCTAGGGGACCCCACTGGGATATTCCATAGTCTGAGAGAAAGTGGAGTTAGCCCCGACCTTAAAACGTCGATTTTTTAGATATGAGATGAGCCAGTCAATTAGAGTTGATGTGATACCCAATCGTTTGGGCCTGATGATAAAACATATATAGTCGACTCCATCAAAAGACTTCGAGAAATCAAGATAAATGACGTCAACCTTCTCCTTACGAACAGGGGTGTTTGTTCATCTCTTCACCGCAGTCAGCAGGTTGGTTATATCAGAATGACCCTTCCTGAAACCATGCTGTTGGTCAGATAAATCAAAACGATTCTCATGAATTACAGTCTTTAATTGACATCTTCACATTACTCCACTAAGGTGTAAGGGATGTTAGAGATCACCAGAGGTGCAAGATGGTGGCACATGTGAAGTGGCTTGTTGTACAAATAAATTTAGCTATGGGTTAGTGACCATTGGAGGAATATTTCGTAGTCCTTTTGTCTTACTAACGACTTTGTCCTAAGCCACATCTGTACACGGAGTAACGATGATTGTTGTCTTATCACTAAAGATTTCAACACGCCATATATTGAGTAGTGCTTACACCTTTAGGTGGATGCTCTGATGACAGCCAACTAACAAATACTATTCAATAGACACTTGTACTACGCACCACAGAACTGACAGATATTAATTTAGAACATGATCTACTATTCTTGGACATTGTATTTGCACACCACTGTGATAATTTCACCGATATTCCTTACTTTACCCACTAGCAAACAGTGATCACGTTTGGCAATTATAGATTTTGATATCTCAACAGATTCACCATTCAAGGCGAATGGGATAAGTTTGAAGCCACATCAGAAACCATAGTTTTACGGTTCATTTCATGGTTAACGCCCGAGCTGTCACACTGACTTCCATGGATAGGTAGCGAAGCATTAAAGCTATCGAAGCGTGGGAGACGATTCGGTGACTTATCCATGTCAACCGATCTATGAGGTTTCACCAAGTTTTAGTGGTTCACCAATTTGTAGAGGCAAAGTTCCTCTTAATCTGACTCCAATATATTGTATCTCGTTAACTGTGTATTTAATGCAGGCTAAATCTTCTAGAAGAATTATCGATTTACTCGAGATTATTCAGAAGCCCAAACATCAGTTATAGAGATAGTTTATTGTTAGAGTTTGGTATACTACAGATCACAAACCATTTGAGTGTGGATACTAAAAAATCTGGAATATATATGCAAAAATGCCACAGTGATATCCCGCTTCACTGACGAAAAAATTTGGCACTCGTCAACCATACTTCCCTAAAACAATAGACTTCGTATGTAAACTGAAGGACAAGGCACGGTTATAAGATCCCTCCACTATCGTTGCACAAAAATTCAGGCATACTAAATGAATCGGACTTGAACAAACCTGAGACTTTATCAAATTATTTCACTGAAGTCTACCTTGTGGGTATTGTCGACAACACTTCCCGCAACCACATCACTAACTAACAACTATAGAACCAGTACATGTAATTGAAAAAGCTGTTCTTCAGTTTCCCATTAACTCCATTGGGTTCTGACGAACTACATTCAGTATTTCTGTATTCTCGTGCGAACACTATTGCAGGACCACTGACGATGCTGTTAATCATGCTTCTATCCCTAACTCAACTCACGAGGCATTGTAAGTGTGATGTAGTTAGCCCTACATTTGAGTATGAAAAGAGATATGTCGTATTCGGATACCGACCTGTCAGCCCAAGTAGCATAGTAGTTAGATCACTTCAAAAAACAGTACGGGCAGTGTTACTAAGCGACGTAGAACCATACAGTCTTTTAATTCCACAGTTACATGGGTTTCGGAATTAGAATTCATTTTAGCTAATTGACTAATTGTGAGAGAGCAGCAGCTTAAGATGATGGTTTGTCGACTGATGTAATATTTGTAGAGTTTAGCATGGCATTTGATAACATCACTTAAGGCTTAACCAGAAGCTCTCCAGGTTTGAAGTAACAGGTGCCGTACAAGATTGAATAGGAAGATTTGTGTAGAGAGAGTGTAAAGATAACTGGAAAACTATCCGAATGGAAGCCAGCCGAAAGTGATTTATTCCCAGGCAAGATTTTAGATTCTCTATATTTCTTCTCTACCTCCATAGATGGTCGAAACTGCCTAAGTCAACCACACCATTGTTTGTCGATGATTTAAAAAATATAGAGAACAATAAGTAGTGAAGCCGATTATCTTTATCTGCAAGCCGACCTATACGAATTAGTTACATGGTTCCACAGTTAGTACTTGAAAACTAATTACTGAAAGATTATGTTAATGCATATCAGACACGGAAATAGTTATCTGTATACTATCGACAGTACATCGCTTCCACACGAACAAGAACAAAATGTAACAGTGATTTGGCTGCAAAACAACTGTACATTACGATGCAGCAGCCCCCGAAGGTTTTGAGTGTTGTCGTAATTGCCTCGAACATTCAAATGCCTTGTCAAGATGTTCAAGATTTTGTACCTCACCTATGTAAGAACACAGCTAAAGTACTCCATTCAAGCAACTGGTCCATGTTTCACAAAGAACGCTGACACATTCGGATGCGTGCGTCGTTCGGTAACGAAATTAGTGACGAATATTTCCAAATTTTCTTACAATAACCTCTTAAAACGTGTAAACCTTCCCCATTGTTCTATTGTAGAACGCTTGGTGACTTTATGTTGGCATTTCGTAACTTCAATAATAACTTGGATGTCAACACGTCTTGTCGTTTCCGCCCTTCCCTGAACTAATCGCCTTCGAGATCGCAGCAAGAACGTTCAAATAACCGCGATGTAATAAACTCAGAGTGTGGTTCCGTTTTTCTCATCGAGTAGTCACTGAGTGGAGGAAAGCAGCCTTGTATCTACTACCTTGTTTGGTAAAGCACCAAGTTCCCATTCAAGAGCTTATCAATCTTCATTAATCTGCATGGTTCTCATTAGGATTGCTTAATACCCCGAGATGTCTGGCTAGAACTATCTACAAGATGCTCACTGCTGACACCAACTACGATAATCGTATACCGGAGGAAACATCACGATCTATTCGTCTCTAATACACTCATATCTTTCTATAGACATATATTTTCCACGTAACTATAAATACGAATGTACAGCTTAAGTAAATGATTTCGTCGAAAAGAAAATTTCCTTCGCTGAATTCTCTTTATCTTTACGAGTAGTTCGATTCTGGGAATCGCTGTCGGCTGAGCAAGTTCAAGTAACTTCCCAAGAGTCATTTAAGAGGAAAAATTGAATAATTTAAGGACCAGGAACGGTATCTCGCCATAATTTTTTAATTTTTTCTCCTTGTATCGTTAAATACACCTAGGTCCCTACCTGGAGGCATCAGTGGTTCACTGCTACCAGATGCAGAAGTCTGTTAAGCAAAAGGTTCTGCTCTGTCGATAAACATCTAAAAGAAACTTGATGTATATATTTTTGAACGACTTTTGTGTAAATTGTGTCCAATTAGGATATTCACATCAGTACTAATTAGAAGTCTGGCGCGTCTTTCATCCAACAAGCGTATTTTTATGTTCTGTTCACTGGGTATACCTGTTTGAAATGGTAAGTTTCAGTCACTTTTAATTGATTCAATATAGGCTCGTAGTGCAGAAAAAGCAATGTAGGTTTTTATGATCTTTATTCGAAGTATATTTCAGGACTGCTCTCGCTCGATGGAGAGCAGTTTATGTGGATCGTGTTCAAGAGACGAAGAAAAGGCCATATATCGCTTCTGAGTGTACCGGGTTAAAGGATTCTCTGTATTACAGACGCCAAATCGTTCATGAAATATCTCGAAAAATAGCTCAAATACAAAATCGTATGGCTCATTTCTTCCACCTAACATTTTTATTTTCAGCTAGCTTAGGTGAATATAAACTAAGGGATTTGAATGATGACATAAATAAGCTTATTCGAGAAAAATCACACTGGGAAGACCACATAAAAAACCTTGGGGGTCCTGACTTCAAAGTATAATGGTATTTTTTACACTATAGTGTAGGCAGAAGCGCCGAAAATGCTTGAAAAAGAGGGAAAAGAAGTTCCTGGCAATAGAGGATACAGATATTATGGAGCAGCTCGTGATCTTCCGGGAGTGCGCGAATTATTTGAAGAAGATCGTAAGTCGGAATTGGATTCTTTTATTGTGGCTTTTGTGTTTGAGAGGCCATATATTACCATTGTTCAGCTTTCTTTAATTATATCCTCACAATTGTAACAACCAAGGTAGCAGGAACCGGCCAATAGTTACATAAGATTTTGCGTGATAAAATAATTTGACAGAACTGTGTATATTTAGAATATTATCTTTCGTTTCTAAGATTCGATCTAAGCTTCCGTTTCAGTTTGGAAAAGACAAGGCTAGGTGGCAATAGTGACCTCTTAGTTGATCTTTTCTTTGAAGGCGTTAACAAATAGAACTTCAATCACGAACTAAGGTAAAACAATTCCATTCGTTGATGATTCTATCGGAAAGTCGATAGTCATCTGGTAAGTAATTTGTTCTGGGCTTGTGAACTTTTTGGGGTGTCCTCGTAAATTCCCTATTTTGTAGGACAAGAGAAGTAAAGACATCAAATTCAAATTTACCACTAAGTAATTTAAAAACTGTGGTCAAGTCACCTCTGTTTCTTCAACATGAGGTAATTAAATTAATTTAGTCAGTCTGTCATGATTCGAGGGCTTTGCAATTCTGGAAATCAGCTTAGTTCTTTGAACCTTTCCTAACAGCTCACTGTCCTTTCAGACAGGGGCTAGCGGCTTATATACAGTACTCGAATTTAGGACTAACGAATACTGCATAGAAATCCGAAAAAGATCTCACATCTACGTGGTTAAAGACATTGACCGTAGGTTTCTAAATCCTGTGGCGGTTATCGCACGGCAGTGTATATTAGTCTTTAAGTCTTGGCTAACGATGACTCCTAAATCATTGTGTCTGGACAACAGACAGCTCAATGTTATTCACCGTGTATGTATCTGCACCTTGATGATGAACATGCACCACAATGCAGTCGGAAATATTTATCGGCAACTGCCAAGTTTGAGACCATACGGATGATCCCTCCAGGTCATTTTGAAGCTCTAAACCATCGCCTTTATTTTTTATCACTCCCCATATCTTTACATCGTCAGCATATAAAAATAATTATTGGAGACGAGGAAGGTCATTTACACATAGGAGGAACAAAATTGTACACTGAGACACTCCGCTAAACACAGTCTACCAGCTAGAGAACTTCTAGTTCACCCGTACTCTTTGTTGGCATCCTACTAGGAAGTTCTTTATCTACATTAATAGATTGCCTCCAATCTCGATATTACTTAACTTACATAACAGCCGGTTGTGAGGAGCTTTGTCAAAAGCCTTACTGAAGTCAATATATAGGTTACATCTATGGGTAACATTTGATCTTTGAGAGTGCACCAACTTTAACGGGCTATTAATAAGTCAATGAGGCAGGAATAACCTGTTTTACAGCCATGCTGTTTCTCAGAAAGAACAAACTTTTCTAAAACCTTAACAACCACGCTGAGTTAAGCCTAAGGGTCGATCGTTCTCAGGTCTATATCGTATCTGTTTTGAAGACAGGACTTGCTATGGCGTTCTTCCAGTTTTTTGGTGAGCTACCTTGGGTCGCCGATAGATTAGAACATATGCTTAAGGGACTCGTTAGAGAATTTGCTAATTCCTGTAGAAACCTAGGATGCATTTCGTCGGGTCCCATGGATTTGCTTATATCCAGCTCATTTAGCAGGTCGAAAAGCATCGAGTTCTTTAATGGTCACAGTGTTCAGTGTGTGGGGGGGTTGTGTGAAGTAAAGGGGCGGGTATCTCTACGGTATATATGTTGCTAAAGTAGTTTGTGAATACCTGAGCTTTACCATAGTCGTCCTCCATTAATGATGCAGTACTAATGCCTCCCCATAATTCTGAAATATTTCCCCTTCTCTTAGTCATTTGGTTTATGTACGAGTATAAGCGTTTAAGATATTCTATGAACTCCTTAACAAGTTTTTCCTCGTACAACCTTCTAGACTTGCAAAGGGTTGAGGCACAAATATTTCAAGCTTCTCGATGTTAAAATTTTGTCTCATCAGTACAAAGTAACCTAAATCTCCTCCAACATTTTATGAAGAAGGGTGCGAACTTCTCTAATGAACCATGGTGAGGAGTTTCTCAGACCGCTTTGTGTAGTCCAGGGGATGTGCGGTACAGTAACTTATGTACATATTTCTGAATACAACTTAAGCTGTTTCAATTGCGAACTCTGTCTCTATTGTTCAATCGACTGGGGATACTGAGTATATAATACCTTGTATATTTGCTTTCCAGACGTTAGGTCTTAGTTGGGCGGAGGCGTGACAGTTATATGGAAATCAAAGATTAGAGCTGCATGATCACTTTTACCTTAGGGTGGCATTTAGTCGAGGTTTGTGACGTCATCCTCATAAAGGGACAATATCAGATCTAGTAAGGGTGATTCGGAATCCAGCTCGTACCTAGTTGCTTCCACATGTTGCACTGGAGCACGTCAGTCAGTCGTTAACGACGTAGAACTTCGTACGGACGTACGTCAGTTCAAGTTGCTATACCACATTAGCACAGAGAAACAACTGTCGATTCAAATCCCATAGAGCATGTATGATAACTAAGTCAACCAGCTTCTGTTCGAAGGAACTTTCTGACAGTCCAGTCCTCAAATTTTTCGAGCTTATCGTGGCTGCCACTACGTTCGAAAATGCTGGTTGATAACATGTGATAACCTTTATCCGCCTCACACAAAAATGCTACCGTCTTTATTGACTTGATACTAAACTTTGATTAATATTCTATTTAAAGACTAGCATATATTCGGTAGACCATTAGATCTAAGTTTTGTTCCAGTATCGTTAACTTTTTAACGTGTTTGATGATAACTATTTATACCCCCCCATGTAAGGTCTTGAATTTCGGAGTATGCTGTTTAGTTATTAAAAGCAAAGGCTAAAGTTCTTATGTAGACATAATAATTATAGTATTGACTAAAACTTTTTTGTAAGCTTCGTTACAATACTGTTTTTTTTTAGCTCAACCAGTAGCTAGGAAATCTAGAGGCGAGTTAATGAAGCTAGTTGACGTATCGTATTATGGTAACTGTGATGAAGATGATGGTGTAATTGTACCTCAGGAAGCTGTTTATGAGCAAGAAGGTATCGAGATTTCTTTTAATATTCTGGTTTTTTTCAGCTATTGCGCATAAAATTGCTGAATGGAAATATCGTAAAGCATCTGACTCTCAACCAGGATATTCATGCAAGCCGCTCGGGGATGAATTTGATGAACTAGATGAGGATAATGCGGATACCAGAAACATATATGACGTTGGTGACAATGTAAGTATATTTGGGGTATGAGTGTTCGATATTCATTTATAATACAACAATTAATCACAAGGGCTCATCTTCTTAATATGTTGTGTTTCTAGATGTAATTAATTTTCCATATAATTGCCGTAAACATATTTCTGTAAACGCATATGCCAAGGTTTCAGGCACACTAAATGATGTTCATGTAGAGGTGGCTTAGTGTTTAGACTATTTAGCTTTCTGCTTCTAAACCTTGAGACCGAATCCCCCCACGTGTTGTGGTTTTGGAACTGGCAGTATTATATACACGATTATTTGATAACATTCGTTTTTATTTTACATTGCGTGGCCTGTATATTCCTTTTTATTCCCACTTTCTGTATTTTATTTTCCAACTACTACAACAGCTCACCGATGGTGGAAATTCTGTCCTTTTAACCGATCTCAAGTCACTGACTGATTGAGAGTTGAATGCTACCACCGGATACGAATTTTGAATCAGCCTTCCTGAAACCACCTGTGCCATTCAAACTGGCATGCGTCAGCGTTCTCGCACTAATGCAGAACGGAAAAGTAATAGGGTTGGGTATATCTTTAGGAAGTCTTAACATCGGAAAATGTTTTCTATCCGAGACCCCCATTCAGGACTAGTTAAGTGCGACAAAATCGCTTTCCACCTATCTATTTGAAACCGCTGTATTACATGGGTTTATTCGAAAATCCTATAGCATGTTTATTTTTTCTGGAATTTGTGTCTCACTGGACGCCATGGTAGAAGCAATACTAATCGATTGGATCCCCACTGACGGTATTTAACTTTATCCGTACTGTAATCAGTGGGAGTATAAGTAAAGACAACGAAGAGGGACTGGGGTGTGTCCCTATTCCCTCGAATTTTTACTGATTGAGTATCACATAAACCACAACACTATCTTTCATTTCTGAAAATTCTGTCTCCATGTTCTCAGCATTTTCCCTTAGAATATTCATTTATCCAACCTAGAATTAAACAGTTGTTTAAGCGATTCTTTAACCCCCCATCCACGTTTATTATCTTTTATTGATCCCACATAAAGTATATACACTTTTGCCTTTTAAATGCTAATTTGTTACGAGGTTTCAAGCAACTTTGAAATGTTATTTGCTATTGCATAGTTTAACATCTGGATTAACTTTGTTTTTCTTATACAGCCGGCTGATATAGAATTGATGCGTCTTTATGAAGCAATTGATGAAAATAATGAAGTTGGGTCGATTGACTTTTCTAATGCAGAACAATTAGTAGCACTAATAAATGACGACGAAAATACAGATGAATTAGATGATCATACAGGAAGGTCGGCCACCAAATCTATGAGTTCTTTAAGCAATACAGTGAAGCGAGCATTCGTCGCCCATGTTCCAATCTACTCACAAGAGCAGGTGAGATTAATATTCAGATTTTTATAAAATAGTTCGTTACTTCCTTTAACCTTACGACAAACGCCGATGCTGTAATGTAGTAGTCTAAATTATTTATAATGTATTTTATAAACATCCAGTGCGCCACACATTGTGCATGCGATGTGATCCAGACCCGAATTTATGTTGAATCACTGTAGGTAGCTTTGAGATATTATGCATTTATCAATAGTCTTATTGTAAAATCTCCAACACATAATGCATACAATTCGCCAATCCGTATTTTGTACTTTTTTTTTACCAAACAGCACTTAATCTGCCATTGATTGTAGGCCAGATAAAGCACTTACCATCAAGTTTTTCTTAATCCTTTAATTACCCTTATGATTATTACGTATTTGCAGATTGAAGCGGCACTAGTAGCCCAGCGCAAACGTGAAATTCTTGAGAAATATATGTCTAGTGATCTGTTAGCAAGTATGGCACAAACTGGGGAAATCCTTGGCTTTGAAAATGACGAAATAAACCCAAGTTATCAAGTTGTAAACGACAGTCATTTTTCGTCAATCCCGATAACAGACTCCAATGTTAACGTTGACTTGGATACAAGTGAAGGAGAGAAAAAGAAATAATGCTTTATTTTGTAGCCTTTAGAATGTATATTTTTGTACAAATTTCAAGCATTTAAGTAATGCAATCAGAACTCCGTGTTTTTTTATGTCTTATGTTACGATGGGATTCGATAATAATTTCGTCGAAAACATTTATAAAAAACTTTCTCAGTGACAACTTTGGAAGATCAGTAAAAATCATTTGTGATTTCTTGTACTATTGTATTAAAAAATATTCTGGAGTGCAGGGTAATATCGCCATGTCTTGCTTTTTTAGCAAGACGACATCCATTTATAGTTGCACTACCTAATACAATCACTAATCTCTGAATAAGTTGTACAGCTTGTTATCAAGTAAAAACAAGTTAATATCAGATACTACTTAGTAAAATCATAGTGTTATGATTGCATGCAGTTCACCTTCCAATGATCAACTGTGTCCGGCGCTTTAACCGGGTTGGTGGACACAGAGAGTTGGAAAACCCTGATTCCAAACCAATGGTGCATACGGGCTACAGTACCCTGAGGAAACAAACGGCGTATGAATTAATCATCGGTCACCGGCTACCATGGGACTGCATCTCCTTACGATGATCCACTGCCTTGTGGATCAGACCTTTAAATCGAAGGCTCCGGATGTGGCCCCCTAAGAAAACAGCCTGCTTCAGTTTGGGCACCCGGGCAGTATCACAGCTCTCACACAAATCAATTGAGATTTATGTGGCCCATATGTATCTGGTGCCTCCTTGTACCAGTGTTCAAATAAAATGTGTGTAAGAAGAGTCTGTCAATTTATAATTTATCCCTCCCTTTGCCTTATATTTAAGCATATGCTGACAGTTGTAATAACAAACATTAAAACTTTATTTTTCATCGTTATTCGGTTGAGATTGATTTCCCCTTCATTTGTCACCTATTGTTAAGCGAAAGAGCTTATTGCTCTTAGACTTGGATAGCGTACGATAACGCTTTTATAGATGAGATCACTATTTTGGTTGAATATATTCTATATGAAAATAATTTTGATCTCGTATTTACTCCGTCGGTTGGTTATTGGTCATGTCCTCTGAAATCTATCCATATAAGATTAGGGTGTTTGTCCTATTAAAAAGTTAGCAGTTCACTCGCCTTAATCATCAGTATGTTATAAGACCATCTTAACATGATTTTAGTTTTCAAAACAAAGTTGCGATTAGTTACTGTAATACCTTATTTTGTCCGACGTAATTTCCCAGTAAACTGTTTGCTGTTAAGTTTTGTTCGAAAATCAGGAAGTGGCAGTCTTTATTTAGATTTTCTTGGTATGAAGTTGCATGCAATAATTACAATACATATCAATGAGGTTAATATAATGCAAACAACTCATAGTCATCGATTTATCGTTCGTAAATATTGACGATGTACATAGAAGAACTTTGTACAATTACCAACCGAAAAGATGAAAGATAAGATCATTTCACAGGATATTCTGATGGCGAGGAATGAGAAATATGAATGAAAAACAAAAAATGTAGCGATATAATAGTGGATGCAGATCGAAAAAAATATCAAGCTATTAGACTATGTAGACTCTCTGAACTTCTGAGGCTTCAAATGTTTTCCCTGAGCGAGGACATGTTATTGTTCCATCTGGACGTGTTAACTCAGCGATACCCTGCAAAAACAAGTAGAATTAATAAAGCCAATAAAATGTATTAGATTTTTACTACATATTGGAAATTCTTCCCCAAGAATTTGGATTGGTATCTTGAACTAGATTTCAGCTTTCATTAATTTGTAGTACTATTGATGTGGGTCGTTATGTGACAACCACAGTTATGAAATATCGACCTGAATTCCTCTAATTTACATAAATAGATTAGTCATATTTAATTATTCGTAACTGAAATGTTTAGTCCTGTATTTTATGTCTTCGGAATGCTTATTCTCTTTTGAGCTGCATCTCAACTTTATTAAACAAATTGTGTCAAATCTTTATCACTGATCATATACGGTGTAACTTAATTTTGTTTGTAGCCAGTGAAAAGCCTTGGAGTAGAATAAAGTCATCTTATTCTGAGGATCTAGTCACTTTCACTTTTCAGAAGGCTTTATACACATTAACAGTTAATTTTTATATTGGGATGGATTGGTACGGATAAGATGTTATCTCCATCATTATTGAGAAAATTGTTAATAACAACCAAAAAAATGTAACGTTCAACTAATCATTTCCAAAACAATACATATTACAACTAATTATGGACCAAAACTAATACTGTGTTCTGTATAGACTTGTTCACAAGTCGTTCAGTTATCGAGGTTCTTGATCCGGTTCCGCATCTTTAACCATGTTATTTTTTTGAATCATTCCAAAAAAGAAACTTATCGAAGAACCCATATACCTAGCTCCTCAGGAGCAAGTGAATTTAAAAATACACACAGAAGTGGTCAGACGCAAGAGCTTGTTATTTAGGTCATTATTGAACATTGATTCTTTCGAGACATTTAGGAATAATCCTCTTCATGATGCTTGCAGTTCTATCATCTTTGAAATCAATGTTCACGTGAGGTGCTTTCTTTGATTCATAGTTTGTTGGTCTTTATATTACCTGTAATGTCTTTCGTGCTGTTTGTGCTTATTCACTCTGGTTTTTTCCGCTTAAAGGGATACCTAAAATATAAGTATCCGAAGCATACTCTTGTTTTGCCTCGATATGCTGTTGTCTTGAAAGTGTTCGGTCAGCTACGACGTCGGACCAGACACATATGCACCGGTCCAAGTTTTCATACCTCATTAGTACACGATGAACACGAAATTCATAGAAGCAGCTACTGCAATGGTAGTAAAAACAGATTTCATATAAAGATATGATACAGGGAAAAATTAGTTCGTCAAAAGAAAGGTACAGAGTGATTTTAATCTCACGGTTTAAGGGAAGACAGAGTGTATCCTCCGACGCCATTGTGGTCGATTCTAGGCCATGTCACCCAGAGTCTCCGACTATTGGTTACGATAGTCACACAAACCCCAGCCAAGTAGTCTGCATCTACCAACACGGCTAAGATTAGAAGTTAGTGACTTCAAACACTGATGACACGTTTTGGTTTGGCCACCCTTAACTTCCGCCCATCCGTCCCCGACACTAGTCAGCACTGTGCGTCGTGGTAAATGGTAATTGGGCATACGTAACACGTGGCGCAACCACCGCTGTCGATGAAAAATTATAACCTCAGACTGATTTGCCATCGTTCCCTAGTACTATGCGTCTAACCTAACTATTACTTACCCGGTGATCCCAGTAGATGCGAGCAATGATTCTAAGATGTCTATGATCGAGCACTAATAACCCAAGACTATACTGCACGCTTAATGACCACGTTTTGCAGCCGTAAAGTAGAAGAGAACAAACTACCGAGCAATATACTCGTCCCTTAATTGATAGATGGATATCTCGCCTTCGTATTAGGTGACGTAATTTTGCAAAAGCCAAACGAGCCTTTTGAATCCGTGCATAAATTTCGTCAGACAACGACCCATTAGGGCCAATCAGACTTCTAAGTGAGGTTGTCGACGCGTTTGACTACTCCACTCCCTATCCTTATTTCAGGTGTTAACGCAGGCCAGTTCTAGAGAAACAACTTTAGGGGGTGAGAAACGCATCCCAAACATCCTGGCATTGTTGTTCAGTGCTGCCTAAAGACTGCATTTTATCAGTATCTTCACCAAACAGGATTATATCATCTGCATATTCCAAGTCAATAAGTGAACCTCCTGATAGATCAATCCCCAAGGATTCAGTCGACGGGAACGTTATTTCCAGAAGTAGGTGCCTTGTCGGGCACAACTTGAGGTTACAAAATCAGATGACAGTTCACCATGAGTCCTGGTTCGACTAGTACTTCTGAGGTACACCTTTCAATGACAGACACTACCACAGAACCTCATGGTCTACATAGGTCAAATGCTGCTTTTAAGTCAAGAAAAACTATCACTGTCGGACGCCGATAAGCATGTCTGTGTTCTAAAACCTGACGAATGGTGAATATGTGCTCGATGCAGCCACGAACAGGTCTGAAGCCAGTCTGATTTGCTCGCGTTCGCAGTTCATGAGTCTTTGTTACGCGCCCGATAATTATTGAGGTTGGTTATTGCGGGATGATTTTGACCCCCTTCTCATATATATTGAGACAATCGGTAACTGAGACCAGTCAGATGGGATTTCATCTAACTCCCAGGTTTTAGCTAAAATATTAGTCATCCTAATCGCCAAAATTGGACCAGCTGCTCTTCCTCGTTTCAGATTAGATATAGCCTTCTGAACTTCAGCTAGAGTCGGGGGACCTACTTCAACATTTCATTCAGGCTGTCTGAGAATGGTGGGTAGATGTAGAGTAGCTGAAGGCCAACTGGACTGCTCCCTAAAGTGTTCCGCCAATCGTCCGGAACATATGAACTAAGAGCAGATAAGAGTGCCGTCTTTTTCCGGTTTCTTTTATTAGTCAAAGCGTTAGGTCGACAGAATATATACTTTATCAGTACCATTATTCTTCAGCCAGTAAAATCAACACGTAGCTATAATAAATAAATTCTCAATCCATCTCTGCTTTCTGTTATATACCAGTGAAGATTAAACTACAGGTAACTTTCGAGGACTATTAATGGACTAATATTCTATAAATATTCTTATTGTATAATTATTCAAGAATTACATTATGTGTATTTATATTCCACTTATTATAAGCTTTATTTTGACCCATAGATTATTACTATACGATTTATTATTCTTGAGTTATAACCTGTCTATTAATTACTGTCTCCCACATTCACAGTCACTTTTTGGCCTATTTGTGTACATATGTTATTTTCTATTTTATGGTACGTTGTGGTCTGCCTGATTGATATATAAACCGAGTATGTCTGAAATAAATGATTTGGTTGATTCGGAAGCTGCTTTTGTGTTCTGGACTCAAGAGGACAGGTTAGAAGGACGTAGGACCCAATAGGACGCTAGACTGCTCAGACCGGTTGAACGTCATTGGCCTTGTCATAGTGCGAATATTCGTATAAGACGTATTCTGATTGGTGTATAAGTCACGTGATCGTAAGC